AATACAAAATAAAAATGTGGGTATTTATTCTAAAATAAAAAATAAATAATATTATTTGGAATTTATGAAATAAAAAATTAAATTCGTTTAGGATGAGTGGGGTAATTAAGTAATAATTATAAATGAGTATGTTTAATTTATTTATTTTTTCGTTTGATCATTAAAATGTTGGGTAGAAACTATAAGGGTGATGTCTGATTGGTTTAAGCTTGACTTCAAATGTCAAAAATATCGGAAGGTCTCAGAGGAATAAAATTTCCCTTGTGACCACGATGGTTTAAAAGGAAATATATATATATATATATAGTTTGTTTCAAATGCAACTCACTGCATTTGTACAACCAATACAATCTAATAAAAAGATGGGAAAATACCTGTTTTCTAGCTCTAGAACGAGCAGCGGACTCGCGATTCTTCATGAGACGTTTAAATTTTTCCGTGTATTCCGATGGGGATTTTTGCTTTTTAACTAAAAGAGGTGAAGTGGCTCCGGTGGTCGAATTGTTTGTATGAGGTGGTGGTGGTGGTTCTTGATCAGGTCCAGAGTTGCCACTCGTACTGAGGCTCAACATGGTGGTGGGTGGTGGTGATGGTGAGTGGACGATGGTAGTTCCGGTGACACCTCCACCGCCAGGTCTGGCGGCCGGAGCAAAGAAATCTTGAAAGTGGTGGGTGGTGGTAGGGTGGTGAAGAGATGGAAGACTGCTGATATCTTTCCAGACATCATCCATTGGTTTCATGCTTCAGATTTACTTTTCCAGATTTGTGTGTGTGTGTGTGTGTGTGTTGTAGTGTGTGTCAAAAGATATAAGTAATGAAGAGGGTGGGTGGTGGGGGTTCATGCTTATCTATGGATTGTCATTATTATATTCTTGATTTATGTCTTAATTAATAAGCTAATTATGTATGGGTGTATGGTTAATTTTGACCCATTTAAGCTGTTAAATATCCACACAAAGAGGTAAGTTTGTGTAAAAAGGAGTTTGTAATTAGTGATAGTCGTTAAGTCAGTAGAAAATCGTCTTATGAGAAGCAAATCAGATATGTAGACGTTTGTTAGGCGATTAAGTTAAGAGCTTAATCCCGAAAAGAACTTGCACCTCTCACACCAAGGTTGTATACTCGGACGCTCGTTTTGTTTGTGTAAGAGGTTGTTTGTTTACCTCTTAATATAGTTTCATTAAGAGACAGTCTCTGAATCGTTAAGAAGTGAATCTTGTTTGACAAAATAAAGATTTGTTTCTTAAT